CACTGCTCATTTACCATTCTGTAAATCCTAGGCTCGTTAAGAATTATGCTGAGTCTACTCTGGCTGTACAGGCACACCTTGTCTTATTGCACTTTGCTTTATTGCACATTGCAGATAATTTCATTTTTTACAAATTGAAGGTTTATGGCAACCCTGCCTTGAGCAAGTGTGTTGCTGTATTTTTTCCAACAGCATGTTCTCATTTTGTGCTTGTGTGTCACATTTTGGTAATTCTTGGAATATTTCAAACTTTTTGTTATTATATGTGTTATGGTGATTTGTGATCAATGATCTTTTGTTATTGTTACAATTTTTCGGGGCACCAGGAACCATGCCTGTAGAAGATGGTGAACTTAACTGATAAATGTGTGTATTTTGACTGCTCCACCAACTGGCTGTTCCTGCATCCTCAGGCCCTCCTATTTCTTGTGACAAAACCGTTTTGAAATTATGCCAAGCTCTACAGTGACCTCTGCCATTCAAGTGAAAGGAAGAGTTGCACATCTCTCACTTTAAATCAAAAGCTGGAAATGATGAAGCTTAGTGAGGAAGACTAAGATTGTTGAAAACTGAGACAGGCCAAAAGGTGGGCATCTGGCGCCAGTCAGCCAAGTTGCGAAAGCGAAGGAAAAGTTCTTGAAGGAAATTAAAAGTACTACTCCAGTGAACACACAAATGACAAACAAGTGAAACAGTCTCACTGCTGATGTGAAGAAAGGTTTAGTGGCCTGGATGGAAAGTCAAACCAGCTACAACATTCCCTTAAGCCAAAGCCTAATCTAGAGCAAGGACCGAATTCTGTGAAGCCTGAGAGGGGTGAGTAAGTGCCAGAAGAAAAGTTGGAAGCTAGCAGAAGTTGGTACATGAGTTTTAAGGAAAGAAACCGTCTCTATAACATACAAGTGCAAGGTGAAGCAGCAAGTGCTGATGTAGAAGCTGTAGCAGGGTAACCAGAAGATCTAGCTAAGATCATTGAGGATCACTAAATAGATTTTCAATGTAGATGAAACAGCTTTCTGTTGGAAGAAGATGCTATCTAGGATTTCCATAGCTAGAAAGGAAAAGTTACTGCCTGGCTTCAGAGCTCCAAAGGAAGGCCCAGTTGTCTTTTTAGGAGGCTAATCCAACCAGTGACTTGAAGTTGAAGCCACTGCTCATTTACCATTCTGTAAATCCCAGGCTCCTTAAGAATTATTCTGAGTCTACTCTGCCTGTGCTCTATAAATGGAAAACAAAGCTTGGATGTCAGTTCATCTGTTTCACTGAATATTTTAAGCCTACTACTGAGATCTACTGCTCAGAAAAAAATTCCTTTCAAAACATTACTGCTCATTGAGAGTACACCTGGTCACCCAAAAGCTCTGATGGAGATACACAAGAAGATTAATGTTATTTTCTTTTTTTTTTTTTTAGTTGGAGTCTCACTCTGTCGCCCAGACTGGAGTGCAGTGGGCGTTCCCGGCCACCACAGCCTCGACCTGCTGGGCTCCGGCGATCCTTCCGCCTCAGCCTTCCAAGTAGCCGGAATTACAGGCACGCGCTACCACGCCCGGCTGATTTTTGGATTTATTGTAGAGATGAGGTCTCGTTGCCCAGGCGGGTCTCGAACCCGCGAGCTCAGGCAATCCACTCACCTCAGCCTCCCAAAGGCGCGGGATTACAGGCTGAGCCACTGAGCCCGGCTAATGTTATTTTCATACCTGCTAACACAACAGCCATCTTTAGCCCACAGATCAAGAACTCATTTTGACTTTCAAGTTTTCTTTAAGAAGTACTGTTTGTAAGGCTATAGCTCCCATAGTTTGTGATTCCCACTGATGGATCCGGGCAAAGTAAATTGAAGACCTTCTGGAAATAATTCACGATTCTAGGTGTCATGAAGAACGTTCATTGATACATGGGAGGAGGTCAAAATAGCAACATTGAGAGGAGTTTGGAAGAAATTAATTTCAACCCTCATAGATAGATGACTTGGTAGTGCTTAAGACTTCAGTGGAGGAAGTAACTGCAGATGTGGTGTGTTTCCACTGAGAACTAGAAGTGGAGCATGAATGTGACTGAATTGCTGCAGTTTTGTGATAAAACTTGAATGGATGAAGAGTTGCTTCTTATGGATGAACAGTGAAAGTGGCTTCTCGAGATGAAATCTGCTCCTGGTGAAGATGCCGTGAAGATTGTTGAAATGATGAGAGATTTGGAATATTACATAGACATAGTTAATAAAGCAGTAACAGGGCTTGAGAGGATTAACTTCAGTCTTGAAAGAAGTTCAGTTGTTGATAATGTGCTATAAAACAGTAGTGCATGCTTCAGAGAAATCTATCATGAAAAGATAAATCAATTGATTTGGAAAACTTCGTTGTTGTTTCATTTTAAGAAATTGCCACAGCCACTCACCCTTCAGCAGTCACCACCCTAAACAGTCAGCAGCCATCAACACCGAGGTAAGACCCTCTGCCAGCCAAAATATTACAACCTACTGAGGGCTCAGATGATCGTCAGCATTTTTTTTTAGCAATGAAGTATTTTAAAATTAAGGTATATACATGTCTTTTTAGACATAATGCTGTTACACACTTGATAGACTACAGTATAGTATAAGCATAGCTTTTATGCACACTGGGAAACCAAAAAGTTTGTATGACTTGCCTTATTGCAATATTTGCTTTATTTCAGTGGCCTGAAACCAAACCTCCGAAATCTCCAAGGTGTGCCTGTATATCCTTCCAGATTTTTTTATGTTTTAGGTTACAGGCAAAAGTTTGTGGACAGCTAGATAGAATATAGCTGCTTTTGCCTAACAATACGCCTTCCTTTCCTTTATATATGTAGGGCAACTTATAGTTTTTCAAATTGCCCAGTTCTGTTTGGGGGAATGCATTATAATTTTCCTCTTGGTAGAAATGAGCTCCTATTTTATGTCCATCTTTCCACACATATGCTAGTGGCCCTGAAGGATGGATTCCTGGAAGTGGAATTACTGAGTCAAAGGTTATAGCAGTGTAAAATTTGACAGATTCTATTAAGTTGTCCTCCAAGAAGACTGCCAATTCCTATTACTAGAGCATATGGATGCTTATTTTTATGATTTTTTTCTTGTGGTTTTAATCATATTAGCATTTTGTGCCACTTTAACAATGTATTGTTTTGATAAGAACAATATATGTTTTCCACAAATTTATGTTGTGTTTATAATTGTAACTTGTAAAGTAATTGTAATAGTTCATCAGGGTCTCACAGTTTACCTAGCCATTGCCGGACTTTTAGGCTGCTTCCATTTTTAAAAAAGTTATTACAATGAATTCCGAAATGCATGTATTTGTAAAAGTAGCTTTATCCTTTTACATAATTTTCTTAGAATAAGTGGAGATTATAGGGTTAATGGTTAGGTATAATTTGTGGTTCTAGGAACTTACAGTAATATTTCTTGCCTTTTTACATACCCTGACTGTGGTGTGCTGTTTTTACCACAGTCTTACCAGCATTCGGTCCTATCTGTAACACGTTTTTTTCTTTTGCTAATTTGAAAGTGTCAGTGTTAAGGAAAGAAGTAGGAGAGACTGTTGGAACTGATAAAGTGCAGGGAGGTGGGGGCTCAGAGAGATCCTGACTTGATTGGAACAAGAGAAGTAAGATGGAGAATCCCAAGGGGCTTGCCATGTGATGTGTTAGCTGGTACGGAGCCATATAGATTCTTGAACTGAGAAGTGACTGAGTTCAAAGCTGCCAATGACTGTGAAGGAGGAACTAGAGGTGGTACTGGCTCGAGGACAGGAGCTGTGGACATGACAAAGAAGATGGGCACCTTGTTGTGGGAGACGCCATAGGAAAAGTGCTTGAGCTAGATAGAGCCAAGATGGTATAATTTGGCAGTCTCGGACCATACTGACCTGATGGCTACCTCAGCAATTTTTCTACTACTAGTCTCACAGTGGGGTGTAGAGAGCTGACAGGTCCTTTTCCCTCTCCAGGTCCAAAACAAGTTGCTGCTATCTGCATGTCACTTACTGGTCTCACTGGCCACCACCGTGCGGCCCGTCTTTCTGATCAGCATCCCTGCAGTGCAGAAAGTGTTCAACAGAATCACTGATGCCTCTGCCCAGCGACTTGTCGATAAGGTGAGGCCCCAGAGCTCCCCTGGGATTCTCAGAG